GAAAGAGTGAGACCTAAATATCTTAGATAACTTGCTCAAGGGAAGGTTGGAGTCTAAATATAGTCTGGCTTTGAGCCTGTCTTTTAATCACTACTCTACATTACCACTCCTGTCACCAGTATCTCAGGCCTAAATCTGCCTCAGTAGCTTTCTCTGTCACCTTCCGAATTCACTTCCTCTGATCCACTTCCACTTTTTCCTCACTGCAGTTGAGAGATTTTTAATTTTTACAAAATGCTCATGAGAGTCAGCCCACCCTCACCCCCACTTCAAATTTTTCCATAGCTTTCCTTTTCTCTTAGCTTAGATATTAAAAGGGCAGCCTATCCAGACTCAGTTTACCTTTTACTCCTTCCCTTCCAAGCTCTAGCATCGCAGTCCTTTCACTTCCTGAATTGAGCTGGACCAACCACTTCTGGAGTGCTGCCCTTCTGGGCAGATGCTCTCCTTCCTTTATTCAGTTAGTTCAGTTCACCTGATCCTTTCAGATCTGATACTTTCCTGACTTCTTGATGAGATCAAAACACTATTGCAGGGCACCATTCTTAGGGAGCTTTCCTGTTTTCCAAGTGTCATAATTGAATAGTTTATATTTGTTTCGATAATACATATAAATAAATGTAATGCTTTTAAAAGTCATGTAAAAGAGCATTTGCTTATGTTATTAGTTATTGATATTATTTGCTTAATGTTTATTCTGTCCAAGAGACTTGTAAGCCCATGAGGTCAGAGTCCTCATCTGCTTTCTCCACTGCCATATCTCCCATGCCCAGCACATAGTAGATGCCCAATATGTTTTTTGTTCAACAAATGAATGAGAGAATAAATTATGAATATTTTTTGAACTTAGGATAGATTGAACTTTAGGCATTGACATAATAAGATTTTAAAAAGTAGTAAACAGTTTTTCTTTTGACTATAAAACATTTGCAAGAAATTTTACACATAAATTTGTGTTAGCTATTTCTCTAAAAGACACAATAAACACAATTATTCCCATTTTACATTTGAGAAACTAAAGCCCAAATACATCACACCTTGCCCAGGATTGCTTATAAATTATCACAATTCAATAAGCTCAACAAAACAATATTGGCTTTTTGCTTCATTCCAGCTATGCTCATATATTTTAAATTAAATTGTACTAATCCTCTTTATATATAGGACATCCACTAACCATTTTTTAAAAAATGGTTGGTGCAGTTCTTTTAGAACTGTGTTTCCAAAAACAGTCATGGGTCTCAGAATTCCTAAATCATAATCTCAACACACTGTTACTGCCAATTACACTGGGAAAAGAAAGACAACCCAATCAAACACTTTCTATATTAACCCTAAGTGATAAGTCTTTACTGGTTTTTGTCTATGAGCCAGAGTAAAAACCTGATCCGCCGAAATCCAAGTACGACCTCTCAGAAGATCTAGATGTAAATACTCACTTTCCTCTAGGTGCTTTGGGGTTTGCTCAGTACATGCCTACATTTTCTTCTATACTCCTAGGTCCCATTTACTTATTTCTAGCCTGTGAACAGATTATCACCTCCATCTGGGTAAAAATAGATCTTCTTCATCATTTTAGGGCAAACAAGGAAATGTAAGGAAAACAAATAAACAAAGGAACAAAACAAACTTTGTAATCTGATAAAAAAAGATTTGAATCCTAACAGTCATTGATTCTTAACATAGGAAATTTCTTCATTTCACATTTCTAATACTGGACAGTTTGGCAATGAGGAGTGATCTCAAACTGTTTTTTAAGGAGAGAATCTTGATCTTGTTTGGGGCGATAGGTTGGGAGCTCAAGTTGTAGAACTGGGCTGACCTAGACTTGATTTCTGGTTCTCTCACTTACTGAGCCAGAGAGGAAGATATCAATACAGTTTAACAAATACGTTGTCATCTATAAAGTGGAGAACAATAAAATAATGGCTGTGAATTTTTAAACCTACAACTTGGTACATAATAAATATTCAATGGACTTTAAAAATTATTATTATTTATTGGCAGATGATAAGGTGCTAGCTATTCTTAGTATAGATGGAAAGTTGGAGTTTTAATTGGTTGAGTAAGCTGCTTAAGAAATGAAATGTATGCGATACCTGAAAACAATTTGCTTTCTTCAAGCCACCAGTCTGACCCCAGAATTCTATTTCTACAACTTCTAGCATTAAATCCCTTCATACATCTTGTTCAGAAGTCTAGAAACTTGTTTTTCCCTAGTTCAACTTCTCACAGTCTCCTGAGCCACACCTTAGATAATGGTGTTAAAAAACTCACAAAGAGCCAGAGATATTAATTCATTCATACAACAGGCCCCTCACGAATAAAAAAGTACACACGTTTGGCATTCACAAATTGTGGGGGAGGGAACAGAGGGGAAAAAAAAAGTGCCTGTAGGTGGCAGGAAGTGGGAGGAGACTTTTAAAAAAGCAATCTTGGGCCAGGGGCCATTTCAGAAGTTAGATTTTCTTTTTATCAACCTCAACTCCTTTTCTGAGTATGGAGAATGCAAAAGGGAAGATGGTAAGTACATTTTAGTGGGTTTGTTTTCTGTCTTTGAGTCTCCTCATGTTTCTCTCGCCACAAGCACACTTCTCCTTTTGAGGAGAAAAGAATGTGCCTTAGAATTTCTTTCTCTTGACTTCTTTAAGAAAAAAGTAAAATCCTGGATATGACTGCGGCCTGGTATACTGGAGTGAGAAAATAATATGTGGGTTTTCTTATTTTGGTTTTGAAGAGATATTTTATCTTGTCAGAAAGAGAAATTAAGTACCAGGGCTAGAAGGAAATGGTAACAGGAGGAAAAGAAATGAGAGAAACTTGTTAGGAAGAGGTAGTTAAAAATGAGACTGGGAAAGAATGAGATGGTTTCATTTTCCTTTGACAGACACGGGTCCTAAACCAAAGTTTATGCGTCTGAGCTTTTTTTTTTCACCCGCCCCGCTCCACAGACTTGTTAGGGCCAAAAACTCATTAGCAGCCAGACATACTGATGAGTTCTACAGATAGAAACTAAAGATGAACAGGCTTTGAGGCCTGGTACAGAAAAATTGAACTAATGTGCTAGGGAAACCTGAGCACTCTTAGGATCTCTTTCCTAGAACCAGATTCTCTGTTTGCCCTCTTAATTTTAAGACTTTGTGAGGCCCCAAAGTGAGTATTTTGTGAAAGCACTAGGCAAAAGTAAGATTTGAATATGTAGGACAAACTGCTACAGAGATGTAAAAGTGCCATTCGAATGTTAATTTGTCCAGTACTCCCACTTTAAATGATAATGGGAAGGATTTAGATTTGGGAGCTAGTTGACCTTGGGTTTAATTTTTACCTAAAATGCCTACCTGTGAGCCTTTAGCTATCTAACCTCAGCCTCAGCATCTGAAAAACAAAGTAATAAATGGTCACAAGACTGCTGTGAGGATTACATGAAAGAAAATAAGGAATGTGTCAAACAACACCTAAAACAGAGGTTCAACAAATGTTAGTTTCTTCGTATCAAAAAACTTTTATCCCCACTGTTCTCTTGTTTCTCTTCATCCAATAAGTATTGAGTGCCTACGATGAAAGGGAAAGAAATTCCACCCTTTTGGAGCTTACGATTGAATGCACTAACAGGAATTTGCCCAATCACACAAGCAAATGTAAAATTGCAACTGACAAGTGGAAGGAATGAGTAAATATGTAGTAGATTTGACATAATCTGTAAAGACTAGAAAGGGTCACCAGATGAGCTAATACTAAGTGAGATTATAAAAGGAGTGAGACTTTGAAATGTAAACCGAAGAGTGGGTTGAGGTAGAGCTAAGGATAATTCCTTCAGGCCAGACTAACTAGGTTGGAAAGGAATGCTGTGACCAGAATTGGGGCAAAGGAGAGTAGTATGAGAAGCAGCTGGAATGGAAGATGGGAGGCTGGTATAGGTTGTATTACAGATGTTTGATTGTATTCATATTTTCCTGCTAAGAAGAATAAACCGTTGAATGGATGTATAGCATTACTCTGGGAAACATTTGTTTGAAAGAGGTCAAAGATAAAAGGATGGGGAAAAAAAATCTTCCAGGTGAGAGATAAGGATATAGTCCTTCAAAGCAGAGCACGGTTTCCTCTATTTTGTTTGTAACTGTACTTTCTGTCTTTTCCTCATACATTCATATTGGCCTTCTCCCATTTCCCTAGCATTGCTTTGCTATCTGATAAATAAACCTGGGCATTAAGATGATACTCAGAGAATACACACTGGCAGCACAGAGTTCTGTGACTGTCTTGGTGTCTCGACTGCGGGTTATCTTAAAGGCAGGTAGTGTTGATGTGGTGGGTCAGACACTAGAGGAATGACTGACTGGCTCCTCTACCCACAGTGGAACTCCACAAAGAAATCAGGGGAGAAAAATATGACTTGTAAATTCCAACCTGTGTCAGTAGAAGCTGAAGAGGAACAGCGAGCTGCTGGTGAACCAAGTATGCAAAAAACCTCAGGGAAGGGGACCAAACGAAAAAGACCTATCGAAGCTGACAAAGGTAAGAGGTCCACAAGTGCTTACATCCCATTTCCTTGGGTTTAAGAAGTCTGAGGGATTTTTCTGGAGTAGAAAAAGTAAAAAAGATATTTTTGTCCTCTATTCTGCAAGTCCCACGATTCCTTCGAAGCCCAGCTTAAATCTCACCTCCCTGAAGCCTTCTTTCGGTCACTTCTACTAAATCTTGTCACTTTCAATCTCCAAACTCCCACAGTATACTTGGTTCTTCTTTTTTTTTTTTAAATAGCAGAAAAGAAGAGTTTTATTAGAAGGGAAAGTACACTTCCAGATGTGGAAGCGGGCCTGAGCAAGAGAAGTGTGGCTCAAAAGGCCAAGTATACTAGGTTCTGATCATCATTCTGCAAGAAGAAAATTCTGAGATCCCCTAAATTAAATTACAGCAGCCCGAGAAAGAGAGGAACGGAAGCGATGGAACTGCTAGTCTGTTAATGACCGCAGGCCAGCTGACGAAAGCCTGCTGTCCACTTCTTTTATACGTGGACTTCGTGGACTCTGCACCTATCCCAGAGTGGGCCCCAGTTCACCTTCTCCCACCCCTTTGCCTGTAGCTAATGTAAATTCTTTCAGACAGGTTTTGTCTTCCCCCTCCTCAGTACTCGATGTATAAAGATACCTGCAAATTCTGAGATTATGGATATATATATCTTTTCCACCTAGCCAAGCTTCTGGTGGTTTGGAATTCATGCCCCAAGATCTATCTTCTTTTTGGCTAGCATGTTTGGCTCAATAAAACCTTTCTTTAGAAAAAACTTTCAGCTGTGGAAGTTAACATTTTTGTTTTAACAACTTGCTGCTTGGAGTTCAGGATATCAGCATGCAATGATTCGGGAACAGACTGATGTAAGTTTGAAATCCCATTCGTGAAACTCCACTACCTATTTTAAAAAGAGTGAGGCTAATAACCTACCATGTTGAGTCTGAGTGGGGTGGTGGGTCAGTTGTAATTTACATAGAATACTGGGTAAAATGCTTATGCCTCTACCTGACTAGTAATGTGGGCTCAGTCAACCTTGGGGATTATTAGCATCAGCGTATTTGTATCTATTCTGGAGCTGTGTTCTGCCTTTTCCTGAATGGCCCTGTGTGTGAGGTGCATCAGGAGGAGACTGATATGCAATGGGAACTGAGTGCTGCTCTAATGGAGTGGGCTGGCAGAATTATGGGTAATAGTGGTTGTGCTTGTAACATTACTATGCAGTTTATTTGTATTGTGGTGGCAGAACAAGGTACCACTGAGCATTTATGATCTCAGGTCTAAGCAATCTCTAGTGCAACCTCTTCAGCGTCTATAGGTCAAGCTCACAAGTGTGTACGAGTAGTAGAGAATTTTAGGAAGTAAAAACTGGGATTCATAAGTATTAAGTTCTAGGCTTGAGGTTCTGTGCCTTGGAGGTTTTTGTGGTGTTTGATAAGTCATGGGGACTGAACTATGAGAACTAAGTGATTGTACTTTTGACATTTTATTTTTATTTAATATTTTAATTTTTTAAGCGTTTATTTGAGCCAAACATGCTGGGGAACAAGATCTTACATGCTCCCATACTTTTGACATTTTAAAAAGTTACGCAAAAGTTAATTATTACTAATTTTATCCCATTCTCTTTCAGCTTCCTGTCCACAAAAGATGGCACAAGACGATAAAAAAGTAAAACTTAGAAAAAAGATACCAATTCCTCCATTACCCTCCAAACTGCCACCAGTCAACCTGCTACACCGGGACATCGTGAGGGCCTGGTGCCAGCAATTAAAGCTGTGCACCAAAGGCTTGGTGAGGGCCCAGGTGTTAAACAGCGTTTTGGGGAGGAAGGGTAGAAAACTTACTTTCATTATTAACTCCTTGATCTCTCTTGTCTTAGAAATTGGATGTATACAGGAGACTCTGCGAATACGCTTATCCTAATCAAAAGGTGAGTAATTTGTAGAAAATTTGGCAGAGTGGAAGTTTTAGTTCTCATTCTAATTACCTATTTTAGTATCAAAAAGTGAGTAGAGCAATTGTCCTAGACCCTTCTTCCCCCTTCATTCCTCCTTCTAAGAAGGAACAAACGGCCCGCCCCCCCACCACTTTTCACCAACTCTACGAAGTGTAATAAAAATGAGGGTACACTTCTGATAGCACTTTAATCTTTTCAACCCTATTTGTAGGACATTCCGATCACAGCAAAGGAGGCCAAGATCCTGACAAAATCACAAATAAAATTAAAGATGAAAAGGGGAGAAATAACGCTGGATCCTTCTGAAGTGACTGCTGTCTTTAAGGAAGGGGCATCTGTTCTTGAAGGGTCTACTGCTCTCCTTGATGAAATGGACAATGTTGTCATGACAACTTCTACCCCGAATGCTGTGTTTGCTTCCTGGACCAGAATTGCAGCCAGGGCTGGGAAGATAGAGGCAGTGAAATCATCGCAAGAGGCCTCTCGTAAGCCCAATATTAAGAGCTCATTCTGGATTAGATGAGCAAATAAGTTTAATTGTTATTAACCTCTGATCAATTTTAGGGTGTATTAGAATCACCCGATGGGCTGGTGATTCTTGGGCCCCACCCACAGTTTCTGATTCAGGTCTGAGGTAGGGCCTGAGAATTTGCATTTCCAACAATTTCTCAGGCACTGTTGATGATGCTAGTTGGGGGACCACTCTTTGAGAACCACTGCTCTAAATTACTGATGTCATCAGAGAAGGAAATAGCAATCTGTTTGGCTTCATTTTTTCCTCTTTAAAGATTTAGAAGTAAAGGTAGGCTCTAAAATCAACTGCCTGAGCCTAAGCTTGGGAGGCCCGGATGTTGTAGCATCTATTAAAGTGAGCGACATTGACAAATTGCTTAAACTAGTTCCCAGTTTCCTTATTGTAAAATAGGCTAATAATACGCACCTCATTATATTGTGTAAGAATTACAGAAGATAAAATTAAAGACCATAAACTGGTTAGTATAATACAGTTCCTATAATAAAGAACCTATTTCATGAAGGCCATCTCAGACCACTCTGGTTTAGTCTATTTCTATTGAAGAAAACCAGAATAGGTCACCCACAAATATGCCTCTTTGACATAAAAAAAAAAAAAAAATATTTTGAGCTGAAGGCCATTGAAAAGCAATGCCTCCCCTACCCTTCCCCAGAACCCTGCCCGGAGACGGGAAGCTGGGAGAAAGGCAGGGCTAGACCTACCCTTGCAGCCCAGGTTCCTCCTCTTTAAAGAAGAGACTTGATTTCAGCATCGTTCAAGTCCCTTACAGCATCAACAGTCCTGTAATTTCCAACTCTTGATGGTCAATTTTCTACTTAGATATCCAAAGCTTCTTTAAGCTCAGCTTGCCCCCCCCCCCCCCGCCAAAAAAAAAAAAAATTTCCTGCTTTTCTGCCTAAAGACAGGATATAAATTGTTTTGCTGGAGACACTCATCAACTAAAAAATGGCATCAGAGGAATCTGCAAACTAATCTCACTCCATTAATTTCCTCCTATATATTTACCATCCCACAATTGGACACTCTTAGGGGCTTAAAACTGCTTTCCTTTGCCCTGTTATTCCTTTACAGATTTATTATTATTTGTAGAAGATGTTAAAGAAGATGGAATTCTAAACTGCCATTTCGAGTTTTTGTCGTGCGTTTTCTTGCATGGTGTACACTGCATACATTAATAAACTGCTTTTCTCTTATTAACCTATCTTTTTGTTAGAGTCCTGGCTGAAAGCCTAAGATAGGTAGAGGTAAAATTTTGCCTCCCCTACACTATCTATTCAGTTATTACAGCTATACCATTCCTAATTATATTTTTTGTTCCTTTTTAAAGTTGTAACAGGAACTATTTTGCATTATTTTTTAAAGGGGAACAGAATAGAGTAAGTTAAGTTAGAATTCCAGGGTTCATATCTCAAGAGTTGGCACTTGACAAAGATAGTAAAACCAAAAGCCATGATGTAATCTCAGACGTGATAATTTGGTCTTGCTCTGTTCATCTTACCTCTTTTTCCTTCTCCAGGTGTCATGTGGTGTGTGGTCCATGGGCGAAGTCTCCCTGCAGACACGGAGGGTTGGGTCCAGCTACAGTTTTATGCTGGGCAAGCCTGGGTTCCTGAAAAACAAGGGAGAGTGTGTGCACTTTTCTTGCTACCTGCCTGTAACTTTCCACCCTTACATCTGGAGGATAATATGTTGTGCCCCAAATGTGTTCATAGGTAATTCACCTAGTGCTTTTCTACAGACTAAAAGTATATACCTGGCTTATAGTTGAGGGAGAGGGGGGATACATGCTAATTTTAATTAGCTCTGTGTTTTAAGCATAAGTTATCAGTAGAGTTTCAAGAAAAGTATTACCCATAAGTATATTTCTAAAAAAGAAAGAGCAATATGTCAGGGCTTAATGCTTCTACCTGGAGACAATTAATTCTAAGATATAGACCTTTACAATTACTATATTGCAGATATATACACTACACAAAAATAATAACTAGCCAAAAAACCTTTCAAGTAGCCTACAGTCTAATGGGGATGGTTGGTTTGTAAACAACTGTAATACCATGTGGTGACTGATATCGCTTAAGGGAAGAATTGACTAGATGGAAAGGAGTAAAGCTAATTTTCAGTATAGGAACCAGAGCAAAGGCTGTGAAAGAACTTAGGACAGCACAGAAATTGCAAAGTAGTACAGCATGAAAATAAACCTCAGTTTTGTCGCTTAACAAAATAGGCATAATGATGCCTATCTAAAGATAATGTGAAATTTAAATGAGTAAACAAGAAAAAATGTACATCTGCAAAATTCTGCAAATAATTTATAGCAGTCAGGGGTGGACAAGGAGTCTGGAGTCAGGCAGCTCATCCTTGGGTGATGAGCCACTGAGAATTTTTAAGCAAGTAAACGGGCTGAGGGCTTATACTGCCAAAGAGGGAAGGATGTAAGATGTAAGGTCTATCAGAAAAATCTTGGGGAAATTTGGTTTTCATATGTTTAAAGGACCTGGCATCTTCTATAGGTGATAAAAAAGAAATCTGGCTTCCAGGTAATTATTTGGTAGTTATTTAAATATTGATAAGGTTAACAGTTACACTGGGGCTGAGGACTTGGACAGAGCTTCGAGGAACAGCAGTATTTGGGGGGCATGTTAAAGAAGGCAGAAAAGAAACAAGAAAAGCTGAAATATAACGTTAATGAAAAAGTTTATATGAGGTGATTGTCTTAAGTAATAGCAAATAAAGCTGAAGAAGGTACAAATAATATGCTTGACTGGATAATAGATTTGAAGCAGTAAAGGATACAGAAAATTAGATGTCCGTTGACTAGGGTAGAAGTAGAGACTGCAACGGAAGATATTTTTTGAAAGTGCAAATGGAGAGGTAGAGCAACAGGGCACTTAAAGGGAATTTTCATTTGTTTTATATTAGAGGGCAGAGGCTAAGTATGCTTCTGGGCTTAGCTTGGGAGAATGAAAAGATAATCCTTCTGAATAGAGGGATTTGGTGCAGCCCTGTCTTGTCCCAAAGGGTCCATTTCCCCACTCTGTTGTCCAGGAGCCATCCTGGGCTCCATTTCAAGCTCTGTTGTTTTGCTGCGGGGAGCCCTATTGGTGTCACACTTATTGAACACCCCAGGTCTAGGATAGCCAGCAAAGTCTAAAGTGAGTAGGACCCTCTAGGCTAGACTCCCCCTCCACCATCCAGGAGTGGCAGTCCCCTGGGCCCTGGGCCCTGGCCCATTACCAGGTCCCACAGGAGGAGGTATGTGAATATGTACTTGTCTTTTCCCCTTTTGGCTCTCCTGCTTCCTGCCACAATTCTGTGCTAAGCAAGTTGAATACTTGAGGTCACTCTGGATAGCCCATATTTGGGCCACTGGGCAAACGATAAAAGATCCATTCTGGGGCCTCTCCTGCCCATGGGCTGCATAAGACAGGAATTGTGTTAGAGACATGATTTGGCTGATAATGTCATTCTTAGAGGAAATGACATTCCCACCCACTATCCTAAAGTTTAAGGGTAATTTATGGCATTCCAGCAACGGGTTTCTTGGCTATTTTCAAGAATACAACTTGATATTTCTTGATTATCATCTTTTTAAAACCACATTTCATTTGCTTTGTAGGAATAAGGTGTTGATGAAAAGCCTCCAATGAGATTACAATGCCAGGAAAAAGGGTACAGCTCTGATTTATATTAATGGTAGAAAGATGACTGCAATCAACTTCGTGGTGCCCCTGACATCTGAACTCCAAGCTGCTCCCCACCTTCAACGCTTCCTGCTTATAGGGCCTACAGCCAGTAGGCTGCAGGTGTTAACCCTCAGAGCCCCAGAGCCCCAACAGTGCTTGCTGCTTGTCTGTTGGAATACAGAGACTCATATTTTGAAGTGAGAACCTGAGTTGAGCATTGTGAAGGGGCTGAGTGAAGAAATAATAGTGTGTTCCCAGTCTGTGTTTCTACCTCAGAATTCTGACACCATTAAGGGCTGTTGCCTTCTAGTTCTAAGTTCAATGACCTCAAATGGTTGACTATGTTAAGCCAAAGGGAAATTGTTCACTCTCCAAAACACATTCTTAATAAACAATGCAATATTTTTTTAAGTTTTCTTAACTCAAGATTTCTATAATGTGTCTCTGAGATAAAAACACAGGGCACTTTGCTGGTATTTCCATTTGTAATGGTTTCATATGTTTTTATTGATTAAAAATATTCAAGGTTACTTTTGAATCGTACATAATGTTTAAAATGTGTATATAAAATCTTGTATTTAGGAAATTTGTATGCAAATTATAGTTAATGTTCTTAATAGGATTAAGCCAAAAGGCATGATTATTAGTCAGAATTTTTCAGTGTATAAATGACATGTTTTATTCCTTACATTGTATGTATAATTTCCTTTTTTAAACTTTTCCCCCTATTTTCACTGGATTGTTCGAGTTTCTATTCTATTTCCTTCCTCTCTGCCTTTATTAATTTGGGAATTTTACTTTCTGATTCTGCTTGTAGATAGCTCTCTGTCCATAACATACTAAAACTTAAAATTCTCTCTCTATAAAATAAATCATTCTACCACTAAAATGGTATATTTACTCCTCCTTACTGTCCCTGGCAAGATAAAAGTTCTAAAGTCACATTCCCCAACTCCCTAAAATCCATATGCCTCCCCCCAAATTTGTATATATTAACTACCTTACTCTATTCTCCCCTCACTGTCTCTATCTCATGCTCAGAATATTCAAAAGAGACAAATTGGGACTACATATTTCATGCCTCATAAATTCCACGGCAAAGAGATCCTGTGATACGATCTTGATTGTGGGGAGCCAAGAGGAGCCATTTTCCCATCCAGAAATAACAGCGTCTACAAAGATGTTCTCACAAGCACTTTTATAATGTGTTTTTGTGTATGCACGTGTACACATGGCAAAGCTGTAAGGTATGACAAATGTAAGACATCTGGGGCCTGCCCTCCCTACTTCCTTTCGCTCTAAAAGGATATTTAACACTTAAAGAATTGGTGCTGAAGTAACAGCTCTGGAGTCAGGTCCTGGTGGACACTGACTGAAGCAAAGCTATCTGCATGAAGAAATCCTGTAAACTCACTGACAAAGTGGAAGTGGGCACATCTCCAAGGATCCCCAGCCTGAGAAGCAGAGGTAGGAAGAAAGCAGATGAAAATTTTTTTTAAATATTAAATCATAGAATTGGAATTAATTTTTCTGAAAATGCCTCAAGTAAATTTCTACATTTGGCAAGATGGGGCTTATAGACAAAAATGTATTCAAATTTATCAGGAATGATATGAACAAATGTGTTTTCTAACAGGTTACAATATATGACACTTGCCGAAAAGATCTAACGGGAGTCTCACAAGGAAGCAATTGGTCCTGATTATACCAGTTGACTCAGCATAATCAAACAAGCTTGCTTTGTGTTGTGTGGCATTTATATAGGTGTATCTTTATGAAAAAATTCACACAGCTATTCATTTAGATGTGTGTGATTTGCTATATGTAAGTTTTATATTTTTAAAAGTGCGATTTGAACGATAAAGTATGGTTCTTGAAGTCAAAAGAATGTTTTTGACATAATTGGAAAAATTTGAATATTAAGTGGAAATTAGATGATACTACAGCCATGTTAAATGTCTTGGTTGTAATACGATTGTGGTTATATAGGATTATATATGTGTATATAATCCAACATTGTTTTATTATGATTATTATAAATGCGTTTATACACACCCAAACAGAAAATACAGAAATAATATTGCATTAACCATTGACAATTAGTTCATGAGGCACAGAATAACGAGCATTGCACCAACTTTTGTGTTTGAAAAATCTTAAATTAAAGCTTACATTTTAAAATAAAATACTCAATTATCTATGTAGAAAAATCCTTTTGAAATACAAGTCAGATCATGACACTCAAACCCTTTCATGGAGCTCATTTTATTCAGAGGGAAATCCAAAGTTCTTGTAACAACTTCTGAGGCTTTACCTCAAGTGTACCCTACTTTGTGAGTGCTCGCCTCCAACATCTCCAGCACCCTGCTTTCGTTATTCCTTAACCATGTCTAACATGCTCTTACTTTAGGGCTTTGTCACTCGTTGAAATGCTCTTTTTCCCAGATATCAATATGGTAAACATGCTCACTTTTAAGTCTTTCTTCAAATATCATTATCAAAAAAAGTATACTCTGACCCCCTGTTTAAAATCACAAGCGATTTCTCAACCCTTATCAGCACCATTTGTCCCCTTCACCCTCTTCTAGCTTTCTAGATGAATAAAGAATGAAAACGTTTGATGTGAATTTTATGAAAGGAAATGGATTGCGAGTTACTTAGGAGTCAATATAAGAAAATTGATCTTTGTCCTCTCTGTCTAATGTATTACTGCATGGTTAATATAACACAGCTACAACCTGATGTGATGACCTGATCGGTGAGTGGGGGCTCCAAAACGAAAAAGAGGGCAGGCGTGTATGTTGGGTGAAATGCTAATGACCTGCAAATATAAAGGATGTAAGAAGTCATGACCCAGGTTTGAGGACCACCTGTACTATTTTTGTTGCTGGTTGATTTTGTTGCTTTTTGATTTTTTGATAAATGGCAACAATCACATTTATTTCACAAGACTGTAAGAATTAATGAGAATATATGTAGCACACTTTACAAATTGAAGGTTTACGCAAATGTTATTTATGACTTATTAAATTCTTTCTTAGCTTCTGTCCTTCAATGTTAAGTTTCCCCAAACAGAACACTCCCCTGTCTAACCAGTCTGCCTCCCATGGATGGGCTCTCTTGACACTTTATGTAGCTGGTGCCAAAGACAGAATTTGAGAGCTGCTAGTAGGGTTAGTAAATTGGGAATTTGTGCTGCTCAGAACAAAGATGGGAATGTGAATTCTTTTATTAACTTTTATTTCCCCCTAATCTTTGCAGAAAAAATAATTTGAGAGACTGTAAAAAAGCATTTTTAAACAAATCACTTGTTGGGAAGGTGGTAATGGTTTAGTTATAATTCTTCTATCTTTTTACCTAATTTTGATATAAAGCAAGGTCAGAGAAGGCAGAAGGATAGAGAAAGGGAGGATGTTATTTTTGGTCTTTATTCCATACGTTACTCCTTCCATACCCTCTCCCATTTCCACTTGTCTTTGAACTACTGAGATAAGTAACTTTCGTTTTTAAAACGTGATCGTAGTACCTCACTTTTGGACTCTGATTATGAGACCTGTTTGCAGAATATGCTCATCTCAGCAGAAGTGGTCTTGAAATTGTCATATTCAATAAGAGGCTTGATACTGACCAGCAATGCCTCAGCACAAAGCTGAAAGAGGGAAGAAGACTGAAATGGCCACTACTCTTGACATGGCTAAAAGATTTCTGATGAATAACTCAGACCATATTCAAGAAAAAGACCAAGATATGACAACCCTATAGCAGTAGCCTCACCTATCGTTACTGCCACTTCCAAAAAAAAGGGGGCCTCTAAGATTGAAAATAGTGCTGGTCCAGAAGAAGAAACAGCTCAATGTTAATTAGTTTCAAATGAAAAAAGTAAGTGATGGAACAAGCCACTTACCTTTTAACAGTCCATAGATTGGAAAATGGTTTCTCGTCAGTTATTTTTTTGTCTGCTGGTGGTCACTTTCTACTGGCATATGTTAATGTTTTTCCTCAATTAATTTCTAAGCCAAGTGATTTGGCCCTATGGTGGTAGCTACACTTATCATTGACTGTAATTATAATTTCACAGACGCATAAATTGTTGAAGTAATCAGAAAAGGAGTTCCACACGCTCAGTATACTTTGTCTTTCCTTTCTTTAAGGCATTCAGGCAAAGGAGGTATAGCATTATGATGTGGTGATCATGCAAATGTGCCTTTTAGCTCTGTACTGTAGGAATAGTAATTTGTCAGTGACCCCAACTTTAACTTTGTTATTACGTTCACGCCTATGCTGTAACTCTCATCTGCTACTCTCAGCCACTCAATGTAGCAGTTTCTAAAGCAAGGCCATTCTTATGGCCAAGACTCAGAGGACTCCTCATTAGCTTTGCTTTAACTTTCTTAGAATTGCACTGCAGTTCAAGACTCTTCCTACCCGAACTCCGTTCTCTCTCCTTCACCAGAGGTCAGAGCTATATCATGGGGCAGACAGCTCTCCCATCCTCCAGGCTCCCTTCTCATTTTCTCTCACAGTTGTTTTCTATAATAAATCTCCTGAGCACCTAATTCTACCTTGGCATCTGCTTCTTGGAGAACATGAACAAATACCAGGAGCAGTCAGAGAAAACAAATAATAACATGGAATTCTGGAAACTGGCTCGCTGACCTGCTGGTGGACACAAAAGAACGCCGTTCTGAGTGCTGTGTAAGGAGTGAACAGCTCCTGACTCATAATGGTGGTCCAATTGCTGAAGATTTCCAAAGACATGACCTGAAAAATGCCCTGGTAGAGGGGAATATCCTTGCAAATGCAATAATTCAGTTATTTGGAAAATATAGGTATAAAAGAGTCTACAAAGATAGTGGAGTTGGCTGGTTATCAGTAAGTTCTATTAATGTTTGTCAACAGGATAATGAAAAACTGAGGGCCATTAGCAAGCATTTAAAGAGTGAGTATGAGATGTGAGAGCCAGGAACCCTCTAGCAGTTTACAGAGGCCCATATTTCCTGTTTCTAGAAGAATGGGCATAACTGAACAGTAAACAGAAGCTCTAATAGCTAAAGTTGCAGAGCTACGGAGATGTAAAATTTTAGCAAAGGCAAGTCTGTTATGCTAAAGTCAGCACACTAGTTGGGAAAATCGTGGACCCTGAAACATTGGGTTGAGACATTGGAAAAGATGCCCCTGAGAGTGTCAGCTCTGTAGACCTTTGTGAAGTCTCAGAAGTCGCAGAGGTGGTCCATAATTCCTGAGTAACAGCTATCACTACCTCCATGCTGAAAGATGCTGCAAGGCCCTTCCCCCTCGGAGGTAACAGGTAACAGGTGCTCCCTTAAAAACTCCTCCAAACTGTCCTCCCAGCTATTAGGCAAATAACCGAGAGTTAAATTCCAGCATAATCCAGCTGGAGAAGTGATGAGTTCCAGCATAATCCA